TCACTTTCATATGGGCAGTTGTCAGCTTTATAAAACAAAACTAAACAAAGCCAAAATAAAGCAGTTTTCACATTGTGCAGCAGTACCAGCCTGAAGCTTTGTATTCTTTCCTGTGTCCGTCTGCAGAGTTTAGTTTTAAAATGGTTACTGATGATTTTAAAATGTTGGTTTAAATACAGCGTAGAGTCAGACAGACCAGCTGTCCTTCTGCTGTGTCCTGCTGTCTGACTCCAGCTAGCATTGAGAGCTTATCAGCAGTGCGTCATCCTTTCCCTGGACTGTCTTACCCAGTTATCAGTGGTTCACTCTTCACTGAAGTGAGTAGGATCTGTGGATGCCTCTAATAGCAGTATTCAGCACTTTACATGTTTAAGCCCATTGAAACATAGTATTAATTACGTTGATGCATCTAACGCTGCTGTCATTATCCTCTGATGGATTTTTCCAGATAACGAGGCGACCAGATGTTCATTTGGTTCATTTCCAAAAGAAATATGTTTCTGTGTATATCTTTCAACTGATATTAAGTGATGTTTGTATAGCAATGCACTTGTAGTTAACAATCTCCTGCTTGCTTTTTTGGAGGGGGGTAGGGGGGAAGGCAGGGAGTAATGCAACAATGAACTCTACTGTATTTCCTATTGAACTGTTTGAAACTCTATCAGGCAGTGACTCAGACTAGGTCACTCTTCAGCTGCTCCCAGTTCTCACCCAAATGTTGAATCAGTTTTGTCTGCTTTTGATTTATGAATGCTTCATTAAATAAGGAGTCTGGAGCAGCAGAAGGTATCTGCTGCCGTTAGGGAAGCACAGATCTTGGAAGCTGGTGGATGTTGGCTGTGCTTAGAGCAAAGGTCATCCTCTAATGGAAAGAAAAACAAAAACAAAACACTCCCATCCCACTATGAGGAGATACTGAGCTTCCAAGAGGAGTGACTCCTGTAAAATACTACCGAGCCTCTGCTCCTACTTGTACAGATCTTTATGGTTCTTTACTCCTATTTCCTCCCCCAGACAAATTACACAGAATACAGGGCCTGTGATATTCCCAGGTGATAAAGAAACGTGCTACTGGTCAGCTTCTGCCTTGGCTTCCCTCTTCAGGGGTGTGATCCAGAGTCTTGTCTCAGTTGGCAGTGGCTCCTTTCAGGGCCCCTTGCTGCAGTGCCAGCTCGTGCTCTGACCGCAGTGGGTTCCCTTGTTGGTGAGAGGCTTGTAAAAGGTCTGGAGGAGTCAGGAGGAGCTTCGACACAGACATGGGGTGGGGAGCCTATCCCATATGCTCTCCTCTGGTTCTACTCTTTGGTTGGGTGGAATCATTGTGCCATGGCCCACTCTAAACTTTGTGTTCTCTTGAGCCTTGCTGTCCAGCTGTGGCACTGGGTCTGACTCTGCCGTTCCTGTGTGTTCTTCTGCTGTGTGCCTAGAGCAGTGTGCTGCATATGCTTCCTTGGCACCAGCAGCTTCTCATGGAGCTATTTGTCGCTCCTCTTAGCATACGTCTTAATTTAAATCCTGGAAACTTAAACAGCTTAGCTCTGATATGGTTCTTTAGTTCTTACTGGTATTGAGCATGGCTTAAAAATCTGAATTTTTGGGGCTCTGCTTTTTCTTTGTCCTTTTTTTCAGTAGAGAAATATTTTATATCATCTGAGGGAAGACTTGGAGTTGGCCAGGTGAACCTTTGCTTGGTTGGTTCCTGATTTTGACTGAATTTTTTGTTTCCATTTTGTAGTGTTGCTGTGGTCACAAAATTGCCATCGACTGAGGAAATCTGGTCCGTGTTTCTCTGCTGCATGTCTCCAGTGTTGTGCAACATTCTTCTTGCTCTTGTTTGAAGTCATGGTGCCTGTGCTCCAGTTACAGCAACAGAACAAAATGCTTAGGCATGTTAGGTGTGTACATGCAGTGAAACTTGTTCTACATATAATGAAATGAGAAACCCCACTTTTTTTTTTTGTTTCCATCTGCGTTGCATAGAAAAGATGGATTCTCAACTTTCCTGATAACTGTAAATTCTGAGATAGTACTGTTGTGTGGTTCAAATGGGCAGAATAGCAATTCACACTCCACGCTGTTCTCATTAAAGGGTGCTGTTTTGCAATCTCAGCCACAGTTGTTGCCAATTGCATGCATTCCCATCATATTTTCTTTGCTTTCTGTAACTCTTCTTTCAAAATCTCAGTAATTAGTATGCAAAATTAGTCTGTCCTTGAAGCTAAAGGCATACTCTGGAGTATTGTCATCAATTACAGCTTTGGGGTTCTCTTCTGCATCTTAAGGATAAAATCCCTAGCTAAATTCTTATGCTGATGTTAAGTACCTGAAGTAAAGTAACTAACTAAAGGAAACATGCAAATTGTAAAGCACTTGTTGTCAGTTTTTGCCAGTATCACTTCAGTAAACCTAGTGGCAGCTTTTGGGCATGAACAAGAAGTGATACGACACGTGGGCCTGTGTCTGCCTACATAAATTTCACTTCTTTAAATTAAAAATCCAGTAAATGAAAACTATCCGGATGCACTTGCAATAAATGAAAGGCTGACTCGATGTCTGCTATAGCCATTAATGAGCTTTTCCTACACTCCCTAATCATCTTGATTGTCTTATTGAATGAAACGTATGACACAAGCCCTGTATGGAATCTCAATCAGGCTCAAGCACTTGCTTCTGTTCTTCATAGGGTAAGTGGTGATTTACTTCTGGCACCTTTTCAAATGGCACTCTCAGAGCAACTGTTTTCCAGTTGAATCTTCCCCTGCCTATACACTTAATTTTGCAGAGCACTAGTCGTCTTCAAGATGTTAATGTCTTGATGTCAATATCAGTGACTGCTAATTCTAGAGGTGTCTCTCATGCCAAGGCCTTGGCCAGCAAAACATTTTAGCTCTCTTTTATGAAACCAGTATACGTCCCTCAAAACGGAATAGGCTGAAGTGGGAAACTGCTGCACAGGTCTGTACTTCCATAGGCTCTTGAAAGAAAAATTCTGCACGTTTTTAACCAAAAAGTTCCTTCCTTCTGCCTAATAAGAATTTTATTAGGAAATAAATATTTCTGCTTTTTGAAGTTATTGAAGTTATTGGGTAGGGCATTGAAAGTGAGATTGTGGCCCTACCGTGTGTCTACTAAAGGAATATTACTTTACAGCCCATAGCACTGCATGAGTCCTATGAGCGTTCTGTTGATGTTTGCAGTCTCAGGAAAGGGCTGAAGATTACAATGGAAGTGGGAAAGGAAATGATTAAGTAAGCTTTGAAAACTAAACTTCTCTTCCTCCTTCAAACTGATCCTTCTGGGCATGGCTAGAAAGAAGTGGAGGACAATGGCAAGGAAGTCTATCTAAACTTATATTTCTGGTTTTCTCATATTTGCTCTCATGTTTAAAGAAACTCCTTCAGTCTTGCTTAAAATGAGATTAAGTAGTAGTTAACAACATTGTTAATGACTTGTAGTTTCTCGTATTCTGTTTTACTTTGTTTTGATACAGTTTAAAGGACAAAATTGGGCAAATTTAATTCATAATGATGAAGCAATTTTTTTCTGAATGTCGTTTCTTTAATAGTTTTGACAGTTGTTATTTTAAAATTGTGTACCTTAACTTCTTGCTTTCGGTATTTTCAAATGCATGCTTGTCCTATTCTTTCATTTTGTATCTTACTGAAGAACTCTTGCAAATGCAAATGATAACTGTTTTGTTTGATTTTTCCATCCCAGTTCTTCTGTATCACTATTGCCATGTACTGCTAGCCCATGGGTGCAAACAAGAAGGGCTTTCTTAGCTTGTCTACTATTCTAGAGAAGAGAATCTAAAAGGGTGATTTATTTATTTTATCACCAGTGTTCCCATTTTGAAAGAAAATATAATAAATAAACTGTAAAACTTGGGTGAGAGGGTGTGTTGCTCATAGAAGCCCCGACTGGGAGCTGAGCTTTGTAGATACCTGCTATCCTTTGCAAAGCGTGGGGAGAGGAACATGAGGGTCTTTGGAGAACAACAGTGAGCCAAGCTGAGGATGTGGGGCAAGGGGATCCAAGAGGAATGGAAGTCAGACTGAAGAGGAGAAGGAGAGAGCTTAGGAAGGTAGAGGACAGGAAAAAGGAAAGTAAAGTAAGAAAAAGCTAGGGGAGGAGCAACCAGAGCACCCTCGAGAGGAAAAAAGTATATATAAGTTTGTGTTGGCTGGAGACGTCCATGATACACTTAGAGCATACCTAAAGAATGTATGATGTTCTTATGCATCCTTCTGCATGGGTTTTCTGTCTGCTTCTCTGTGTTTGTTAAATGTGTTTTTATGTGCAGTGGGATGAAAATGGGATCTTATTTTAGCACAGATTTATTTTTTCTTTCCAAATGTGGCAACGTACACAGAGAGAGGATAGGATGTGTGTTACTTCAACAGGAACTCAGGATGATTTGTTTAATGTGAACGAGGGTGTTAGGTATTGTGAACTATAAAAACATGGCATTGTTAGAGTAGAAGAGCTGAACGTATCGTTTTTAGCAATCTTCCAAATTAAACAGCCAAGTTTTTCTCTTCCCACCGTCGGTATGACATCATTATGTTTACAGTGAAAAAAAACTATTTGAGAGGTACCTCTTGAGCTGGAACAGGTTATTTGGTGTGGCAAGAATTCCTGAAACGTTCTTAGAAGTTTTCATTTCTGTCTTAGTAAGAGGAAGTCAAAACAAACATTTTCAGCCATATAAACCATATTCTTTAAACATTGTTCCCAGTGTCCCAAAAGCACAAAGCCATTAATCAAAAAGGTTAGTACATAGGAGAAAATGTATGAGGAAAAGCTGTGCGTTTGAGCAAAAGATGTCTACATTCCTTGTTCGTTCCAGTGATGAACTTGTGCCTTCTATCACTCAGTACTCCAGTATTTTCTATTTAAACCTAGTTTTGTAGTACCTTTTAAAAAATGAAGTTGACAATCACAGTCACTTGAGGATTGGATTACATGGATTACATTCTCATTTTGTTTCCTTCTGACAGGCCTTTCCTGGTCTTTTTTCCCTGTTCTGCTGAATCCTGATGAACCTGAATGCTGCCTGTTGGCATTGGGATAGGGAGAGCCACCCATGCAGACCCAGATGCTGTGATCTCACTTTTCTAAGGTAAGCTGCCGTACCAAGTTTAAAGAATAAAGCATCCAGATGACAAGGTGCTCCTGTAGCCTCAGTTCTACGTGGCTTTTAGGTATCATGAGAAAGCAGGAAGGCCTGGCTCCACACATGCAAGTTACAAAGGGCTCTGTCTGCAAGAGTGATGCCGTGATGTCTGGCAGTGGTCCCTGGCAGAACATTGAGGTCATTTCTTCAAGTATCACGTTGCAGCATAGACCTTCCTGGTGTGATGTCAGGAGGCTCTCATGAACCATGACTGCTCTGCAGCAGCCATGGTTATTCCCATTCCTCAGGAAGAGCTCCTGTGAGAGACTTAGTTGACTTTTATCTTTAGAAGCAAGTATTTAAATGTTGGACTAATTTGTAGCTCGTTCGCAGCTCAGCTGCAGCCCTGCCAGCTGCACTGGGATCAGTGACAAGCCTTTCTTCTGCCACCAAAGCACACTTGCAGACAGATCCAGGGCCTAGGAGCACATTGCCCCAGAGGCAACTCAGCTTTTTCACAAGCATGTAGCAGCCTGGGGGAGTTTTCCAGAACAAGTAGCATATTAGGCTCTCCCTAGCAAAGAGAGACCTTACATGCATATAGAAACCTCTCTGGATTTGTGAGCATTGAATTGGTATTGCTGGGGACTGCTCTGTTTTATTTGGAGGTGGAGGAGGGCTGGTGATCACGAGGTTAAATATTGCCCAAGCGTAGCAGCTGGGCCGTGCAGCTCAGAGGCATGAGCTGCCCTCTTAAGCAGCAAAAGGGGACGAGAGGAAAAGCCTCTGTGTCCCTTGCAAGGATGTTCAGAATGGTAGGAGGAATTCTGTTCGGTCCAAGCATCTTGTGTGTTGGCTGGATGGCCATCTGTGACTCAAGGACAATGTTCTTGCAGGAAGTTAGCAAGACATCTGAATTAGAGATAGCCTGTGTTGTGTGTTGGACCATAAGGAATGTGAGTTCCTTTCTCGGTGGAGATCAGAAAATTAGTTAATGAGGTTGAGGTAGGAATTGTCAGTAAGTACACTGGGAGACATCTGTCTGTGCAGTTCAGCAGTCATGTAGCTGTACTGAGCGTTGCAGGGGCTGCTTCTTTTTGTGTGTTGCGTTCTTCAGTCTTGTTCCACCCATCGCTTCTGGCTTTGGGGAGTGAGGCTAGGAATGTGTTTGACCTCCCAGAGCTGGAAAGCTGATCTGTCCGTACAACACACTTATTCCAAAGCCCAGCAGCCCCATTCTAAGCCATTGGCCGTGGCTAGGTTGGCTGTGCTGGCTGCAGAGCTGCAGCTCTCCTGGGCATGAGCCCTCCAGGCTGTGTCAGAGAACTCTGGCTGACAAGGTGCCTGTCCCTGAGCTGGCTGGCAGTAGGATGAGCCACCCTTTCAGTTTTACTTCATCACTGAAAATAAGAGTTGTTTTCATAGCCGCGTGTTCATCGGGGCCTCCTTATCTGTGGAAGAGAAAGGGTCTGGCACCTCTAGGTCTCTTGGCACAATCCTTTCAGCCTGGACAGTAAATAAAGATATTTGTAAGAGAAGAATATTCATGCTGAACTTTTTTTTTTTTTTTTTTTTCAGTTCAGGAGAGTTTTCGTTTATACCTCTGTTAACTTTAGTCCAACTTACAGGCACAAAAGATGCTTCTTTTCATTCCCATCCTTCTCTTATGGTCCAAGAAAGTATGGAGGAGTGAAAACAGCCAATCACGGCCTGTTAACAGGCTGCTGAAGGGATTACGTTAGTTTGTGGTAACTGTCCAGATGCTCCACACGCTGGGATCTCGCTGCCGGCTGGGAGATTCCCATAGCAGGCATCAGGAACAGGCAGTGTGAGAAAAAGAAACGTGATCAGGGCTCTTCTTGAGGAGAGTAAAACATACACCCAGCAGGGAGGAGAATATCCTAGAAACAAGCAGCAGGGAGCTGAAATGAGGAAGAAGCAGCGCAGGAAATGGAACTACAATTCTGATGCCACCAGCCGGATTAGCAGAAGCTGAACAGGAGGAACCGGAGAATTTCTGTAAAGCAGGGGAGCACCGTGCAGGATTCACCCTTGACCAGTAAACCTGGCTTTCACGATGGGGCTGTGTGAATGAGCAAGAGAGGTATAGAAATTACCAAGTGGGGTGTCTTCTCATCATTACAGTTGCATTTCCTTATAATCTTTTCTAAACAGTAATCTTTTTTTTCCTCCAACTTCAGAGTGATATTTTTATTTTTTTAATTAAGAACTGCTCGTTAGGACTTAAACTTACAAAAAACATTGTTTGCTGTACTGGCCCAGTTTCAGTAACAGCCTCTGTCTTTCCTAAGTGATGTCTTTGAAGTATTTTTTTTTTTTTTTAAACTGAAACGTAACTCTCGTAATGCTGCTTGTAATGGAGTCCAGAACAGAGAGTGGTAACAAAAACACTGAGTCTCTACTAACGAGTGAAGTAGTCAACTAATGTCCACTTAGATTTCTTTATTTTGCACAATGCAATCATGAATATGGAAATTAAAATATGAGCATTTTCCTATATTATCTCTGGGTGAACCTTTTTGGTTTTTATTAATTATTGCATATCGAGTGCAACAAATTCAAAACCAACCAAATGAGCCTTTAAAACCATAATGTTGGTCTTAATTAAACAGAAACTTTGAATACAGTGGATCAGCTTATAGGGATTCTCCAAGGGCAATAAATACATTATATCTACTTAGTGTTTTAAGCAAATTTTAATTGTCACTAACAAAATTAATTTGATTTTCAAAATGAAGAAAGGGGGGTGGAAGTAATGGGTGTCCTTAAGGTCAGTGAACGATCCCATAAGAGTATTGAATTGGCAGGTTGAGCGGAGCAAATCATGAGATGGAAAGGGAGATTTCATTAGGATGTCACGTTAACCTGAAGTGATTGAAGTGTGAGGCCTTATAGGAGCTGGTTTTTCACTTCTCCAGAAATCGGGGCCTGTGGAGACATGGGGAAGGAATCACAATAAGAGGACTCTGAGCCTTGCTGTGCTGTGGGTCTTAGGACCTTGGCAGAGTCAAGCTTCCTGAGCAAGAAAAGGAAATTGGTCTGTAGTGTGATTAACTAAAGAAGAAATTGAGAATTATTTAGGTATAATTTAAAGCCATTTATTGGAAAACCAATATGTGAATACGAGCTTTAATTTCCCTGAAAATAAATCATGGCTAAGGATGAGAACTTTTACACATTTTGTGTAAACCCAGTGATTTTGGAGACCTCCCACCATGGAGGAGTGCAGAGGCACTGCGTCTGTCACAGCCCTGGGGGACCTTGGTGCTCTTGGGCACAGCCAAGAGAAGCTTAGGAGAATGATTAAATAGTGGAAAACTTACAGTATGTGACTGGTTGAATGTTGTAGACTTAATGAACGCAGTTTTCACACTGGAGGGCTTCTGTGGGTTGGAGGTGCTTTCTGCTGTCTGTGCTGCGCTCAGGATTCAGGACTCAGCAAATCCCCTTTTGCTGTCTTCAGTCTGCAGCTGTTTCAAAACTTGGAGAACCCTTGCTCTTAGCATTTCTATGAATCTTTTATGAAATGTGTTATTGTTTCAGAGTAAAGATGTGGAAAAGATCTATTTCTTTAATTTATTTTTATTCCAGAATGCTTCCTGGAACAGTAGGGTATCAGAATCATTCACAGAGAGGGAACTCAGATAAATACAGGCAAAAGTGTGTAGGCTCGCAACAGGACACTGTGGAGTAGAAGGCACCTATGCTGCTGCTTCTGTTTTCAGAAAAAGACAAATGAATCAACGAAGCAGAAAGTTAGCAGAGGTTTGCTCTCAGTGCTCTGCAGCTTCTGGGACCTGAGCACGACAGTCCGGGTGCATCAGTGCGGCAGAGTGCTGCTGCGTGCATGCTCTCCAAGTCCTGCCCAGAGATAAGCACAGCTCCTGTGTCCCATGTCAGTCTGCTGAGCTGTATGGTCCTTGATATTTGCTTTTTTTTTAACCCTCTGATAAACATTCCTTTAGGCAAAGTGTGCAATAGAGAATTAAGTCATCTGTGCTTATGTATTTAATTGCTGGCCTTGAGTAGCACGTAAGGAAGGCAGGAATTCAGAATCTGCAGTATTTGAGAGCAGCTACCTGTTGGATTTCTAGCCATCAAATAGCTCTTTTTAACTAGAAAATGCACTTAAATACAGTGAGGGAGGACCAGCATAAAAACAAGAAAACATTTTATATAGTATGTTGTGAAGTATTTCAGAGGGAACCTGCCAGCGTGTGATTCTCGGCTAAGCAGAAGCTGGGGTTGAATTTTCAGCATCTCATGCACACAAAATTAATGTCTTTTCTTTTCTTTCTTTCTTTTATGGTGTTGGCATTTATTCAGTGCACCGTAAGCCCCGTGTCCTAAATTTCTTGATTCATGTCTAAACATTGCTTGTATTAGCTGTACCCTAATTAATCCTTTTGTGCCACAAGTTGAATTTGCCCAGCATGCTTTTCATTGCCAGCAATGGATGCACCAAATCTGCTGATGCCAAAGAGGTAATGTGCATTTAACACGCATCAGCAATCTCTCTCCCTCTGATAATTGCTGATTCTACTGCACTTAATAATACACCAGTAGGTTAAGGTTATACACAGCTCAGGCAGTGCTAACTATCAGGGTGTGTGGTTATTTTATAATAACCACATTTTAGGGTGTGTTTCAATTTTACAGGGCAGTCATTTACTTCAAATTACTTTGTCATTTCTTAAAGTCGTTGTGTAATTCCTTTATAAAAGAAAAGAAAAAAGAACGATTTTTAAAGATGCATTAAATAACACTAATTATAAGGCTTAGCTCTTAACATATTTTTTATCCTCAGTGCTTTATAGCCATTTTGCAAATTAATTTTTACAGCATTCTTGTGGTGAGCAACTAGCAGTACTTCTGCCTGAAAGTTAGGAATGCCAAGGCAGGGAAGTCAAGTGGTTAGCTTGGGAGTTGGCTGTAGATCCACTATCAGTATTCAGCTGTTTCTGACTGCCAGCTTGTGCTCTCAA